GATCAAGGAGGGAGTGAAAAAAGTAGAGGTGATCAAGAAATGGGTGGATGGGGGAAGAGAAGGAGGGAATAGGAATGAAAAAGGAATTAAGATGTGCTACGTACATGTACCAATGCCACACAAAGGCTGTACTAATAACTAAAAAAGAAAAATTGATGTACATCAGTATTTAATATATAACTAAATTTTTAAAAAGCATATTTCTTAAGAGTCTTTGAATATTGAAAATGAGGAAAGATCTTAAAATTTCTTAAATTTTATTTAGTGTTGGAAATCTTTCAACTTGTTATTCTGAGAATTACTTACAAAGAGAGTGCCAGAGGGAAGAAAAATCTATACTTTGTTAATAAGAATTCTGATAATTTTGGGTAGAGTCTGCAATTGTACTCTTTAGCAAGAAAAAGATTTTTTCAGAATGTAATAACACCAACAATACTTTAGAAGATATGTTTATCATAAAATAAAAGTTTAATTCAAATAGTCCAATATTTTATATATATTTTAATAATGAATAAAAAAGACAGCAAATATTTTAAGTTTACCCTTATGAATTACTATAAAATCTTGCCTGTCATGGAGTCACAACAAACTCTCCTCTGATTTCTACCATATCTCCAAAGTCTGTATTTTATAGACTGTTTCAGACACTTTTCTTTGGACATTGTTCAGGGACACATTGGTAGATTTTTTTTTCCCCAGATACTTGCTTTTTATAGATATCATTATAATTCTTCGAAATACCTTTTCATATACTTGCTAACTCAGGTAGATGAATATTAGTGTTTAGGGGGCCTCTTGGACTCAGGGATTTGCTAGAAGAACTCACAGAATGCAGCATATAGAAGTACATCTGATTTTAGTTTGGTGAAATTACATTCTGTTATTTTACTAAGGTCTCATTCTAGTGGCTTTTTTAGATTTCAGGGGGTTCTTTCTACATAGTCATATTCTTTATGAGTAGAGGTACTTTTCCTTTTCCCTTATTTTGTTTTCTTTCCTTGTTGTACTGGCAAGGCTTTCTAGGAGATTGTTTGAAACAAATTTTGAGAGGGTGTACTTGATTTGTTCTTGACTTTAGAGCTAAACATTTGGTTAGCTATTAAGTACGATGTATTAATAGTTTTTTTTTAGCTTTTTTTGTTAGAATTAGGATCTTTATAGTTTTGGTTTACTAAAAGTTTTTAAATGAATGAATGATCAACTTTGTCATGCTTTATGTACATTTTTGTTTAGATAATTGTATGATTTTTCCCTTACCTGTTAACATGGTGAATTTTATTGATTGGTTTTTTTTTTTTTTTTGGTTATTTTCTCCGGTACAGGGAACCGAACTCACGACCTTGCGCTTGCCAGGCAGGCGCTTTTGCCGCTGAGCTAAATCCCCAGCCCCTATTGATTGGTTTTTGAATGTTAAATTAGTGTTATGTTCCTGGGTTAACCTGTACTTGGTCATGGTGTGGTGTCCTCCTTATTTATTGCTAATTTTTTAAAAGAAAAAAAAATACTTTTTGTATTCTTGAAATGTATCAGTCTTGAGTTTTCTTTTGAGAATGTTTTGGATGAATACTGTTAAATGAGGGGGGTGTATGTATGTGTGTATGTGTCTTTTTGAGACAGGGTTTAACTGCAGTTCAGGCTGGTCTTGAATTCATTTTGTAGCACAGGCTGGCCTCGAACTTTAAGCGATCCTCCTGCCTCAGCCTCTTTTACAGGTATGTGCCACCACACCTGGCATGAATAGAGTTTACATGAATAGATACTACACAGGACACTACTATAGAATTCAGCTGATACATGAGTAAATACACTCATTTTTTAGCTTGAGACTTCTTGGGTTGTAAGAAATTCAGCACAAACTAGGTGATATAAAAATACTTTACTTGTTTACTGGATCTAAATTAGGGATTCAGCCGTGGCTGAATTTAAGTCTGTAGTTGTAATTGTTTGTAGTATGTATTTGTCTCTGTTTCTTTTCTTTTGTTATTTTTGTTTTACTGGGAGAGAGTTCACCATTATCAACTCTGGAATTATATATCATGTAGTCCTTGAGGTCACAAAATGAGAGAGTCCCCTTCTTTCCCAGTGTATATATCAATATGTATAGAAAAGGACTTGATTGTCTCCAGTTGAATTACTTATACCCAGTCACTTTGTCTAAGGCCAGGATTGGTAAACTAGAACCTGTGGACCAAATCCTGCAAACTACCTGTTTTTAAAAAATAAAATTT